CAGACTTTTAGATAATTTTGTGCAATGTGCATCATCCAATGACATTACTGTCAACAGTGTGCTTTCAACTTGAGGACAACAGTTTGGGGTAGTTTCCTGTTCCAGCATCACTGTGCCTGGTGCACTACAGAGCCCATGAGAAACGCCTTGCTTGCACAGATCGCAGAGATCAGCTCCATCCTCCACCTTTGGGATGAACTGGAAGTCTGACTGAGAGCCGCCCTTATCTCAGAACATCAGCACTGAACCTCACTATTGCTCTTGAGGCTGAATGGCAGCAAATCCTTGCAGTCAGTTTACTAAAATGGAGAGCCAGAAATAAAAAAAGGGTGTAATCTTCAGGGGTTCACATACCTTTGACAAAATAGGACTTTTGTGAGTACCTTCTTAAGACTCTTCAACTGGTAAAAAATCTATTAATGTGAGTATTTTCAGATTTTCTATCTAAATCTCTTTTGAGGTTTGACTTCACTTCTTGGTTGGTGATGATTGTAGTCAGACACGTTGTACAACCAACCATCCATCCCAGTCCTCTCCCTAAACTATTTGTGCGTCTGCAACAGCTTAACAATGCAAACTGTTTTGCTACTGAAAGACAATAATTATTATTGACATTGACAAAAGGTAGTTTGTCAGAGAAATACACATTTACTAAAGCAGAGAGAAAAGTCTCTGCAAAACATGATGGGATTGTGGGCAGACAGTGCAAGGCAAAATCTGAATACTTAGATCTCTTGTGTTTTAAATAAACAAATGCAATTTACAACCTGATATTTGACTGAACTACGCTCTAATGAAATGCAACTATTTGTAAATGTGACACAAAAAGAATCTTACATCAAATGCCAGACAGGTTAACGTTATTTTGACTATTTTTCATTTTGTATTAGCATTTGTCTTTTTTCTGTATTTGCCAAGCAGCTAGGATGTAAAATAATAATGTTATCTTTAGGGATGTCCCGATCACCTTTTTTTGCTCCCGATCCGATTCCGATCATTTGATTTTGACAATCTGCCGATACCGATTTTTCCCGATCCGATCTTTATGCAATGCATTAAGAGAAAAAAAAGGTAACAGATAACGGCTGGTCATCCAACGCGATGAATTCAGCTATCTTGGCTGTTATTTTTTTGGCCTTTTCACTGTTCTGGGGCAGTTTCTCTTTCCTTTTAAAAGTCTCTGAAAGTGTCGGTTGTTTCAGTGCCGTTACCTGAGTGGCCGCTGTGTACTCGTCGTGTTGTTGTTGGTGTTTGTATTAGATTGGTCGTGTTGAACGTAGCTCTGTTCTTTCCACCACGCGGAACCTCCGCCTTGCAAACATTGCATCTGGCTGTTACACTGCCTTCGCTTTCAATTTTATAATACTTCCAAACTCCTGACATTTTCTCTGTCCCGACTCCCGAGTCACCAGCTGAACGTAGCCTCTCGTTAGCTTACTGCTACTATTAGACACTGCGCCCACTGTTGCCAGATTTGAGAGAAATAAGCAACCAGGTCTATGAAAACAAGCCCAAAAGAAGCAACACATACATGATGTTGTGTAATTTTAAACCAAAACTAAGGCCTCAGGATGACTTTAAGATGTGAACATGGTCATTTTTGTTTTGTAACATTAAATAAAATTATTAAAAAAAATTATTAAAAAAAAAAAAAAAAAAAAAAAAAAGATTCCGATCCCCGATTTTTTTCTCCCGATTCCGATCTTTTGAAAATCACGTGATCGGCTCCGATCCCCGATCACGTGATCGGATCGGGACATCTCTAGTTATCTTATAGGGGATTGACAGAGCTAACATATAGCTATGATATAACTATTCAAATGCATTTTACCTATATGATTCAAACTGTGAGATTTGACTTGTTGAAGAAGTCATGTGGTCCAGATGTGAATTGAGACCTTCTACTTTGTTTGCGATGTTTAAATAGTTAATAACATTGGATTTGAATCACAAAGGAGGACACAATAATCTGCGATGGGGATGTTCGGCTGCAGGTGAAACTCTAAAGCATTTCCACAGGTGCTAAGTAAATCTCAGCTCATTAAATGTAAAACCAGAGTCTCAAATCCCAGTCAAACCAAACTCTGTCAAACTCTCCCGGCTGCAACATTAAAACAAACTCATTCTCATTCTCTGGCTCTCGGCATCTTATTGTTGTTCATTAATGCAGATCATTAACGAGTCTGCATGTAATTATACTCGTGCAAATTCCCAAATGCTCTATTTTTGAATTAGTTGATGTAACATCTTGTAAAATATTTAGTTTTTTTGGCTTCTTCTGCCTTCACAGAGAGGTCAGGAGACAGCTGCAGCCCGGAGCAAAAGGGCTCAAGGACGCTCATCTACTCTCCCTGAGAAGTGATTTCAATTCTCTGAGGGGTTAAAATCACTACAAACATAACAAGAGGCGTTTTATCTCTTCAATCCCGCTTTTGTTTTTTAAATGTTTTTTAAGCAGGGCATTTATTCTTGTTTTGCTCCACTGAGTTAGACTTTTAACCCTCTGATAAAGGAGCTTAAAACAACAAGTCCGGTTCAAAAGGTACCGACAGCTTGCTCTCTACATGTTTAAACAGTGTTTTTGTCCCATCATTGTGTGGTTACAAAGACAGTAACTATTACAAACTTGATTGCCTTAAATACACCAACTCAGGATAAATGGATCATGTAATGGTCAATGACTAAAAGCCACCCTATTGTGCTTTTTGGGGTTTTTGCTTTCCTGTGTGTTATATAGGTTTTTGTGCATTAAAATCCCAAAGTTCCCTCCAGTTACCCCCCCCCCCCCCCTGGAACGCCTCCATGGACTCCTTTGTTTACTTCTGTAACATAGTGACCTCACTATGTAACACTTGCATATTGTACATTGGCTAAGGAGCTTTTTGAACATTCAAACATGGAAACATGTCACAGTAGAGGCACTATATACAAATATGAACCTGAAAATGAGCAGAATCAAGCTCCTTTGAGTTTGAAATGTTAGCTTTCATGCTGCAAAGAATTAGACTGAATATGACAAAACATGGGGGACAGTGGTAAAGTACTTCATTTTACTGCAAACATATAAAGAAAATAGGAAGGGAGAAGATATAAAAGGGAAGGAGGGCACAAACAAGCAGAAAATAAAAGCTTCCTGCTGAACTGCTGCCGGAAAATATCATATTCAATAAAAAAAGAAAATCATTACTCACGCTGCACATTGATTTAAAACTAGCTGGTGACTACTTGGGTGTTTTTTTTTTTTTTAATGTACTGCAGAGGGTTGCATTGTTGTTCGTGAATCTTGTAAAGTAGTACAGCGTTACTCAAGTCTGTTCTGGACTCATGGGCTTTTTTAGTAAGTTAAAGTATACTTGTTCTTCAGAAAATTAAACTGTATTGTCTCTGTTTTTTTTGTAAGGTGTCTATAGCCAAAAATGTTTGGAGCTACTGGTTTCATCTTTAGAATTTAATTGTATTTCAGGAGCTTGTGTTGTAGCGGCGTCACATAGCTGCTTTGGAAGCGCCGCCTTTTTATTTAAGTGATTGGTTGTTTCATGTTTGTACTAGTGGGGTTTCAAATGTGATGGCACATGCATGGGGTACTCTTTTCAAAGATGTGCCTGTTGTCTGTGTTGTTTTAAAACGTGTGTCATAATGGATCCGTTAACTTGAACTGCAAACCAAATGTTCCCATGGGTACAAATAAAACAACCTGAACCTATCACATGTTTGTATCTTACCTGTTAAAGTGAAAAGTATAACCCAAATAAATGTAGAGAAGTAAAATAATCAATCATTCGTTCTTTATATGTATAATACCATTTTGAGAGTTGCTATCAAGACATTTAAGCAAATTAAGTATTTTCTGTTTCCTTAACCAACACTATTACATACACCAAAGGACTGAACAGTTAACTAACTATGAACATTTGGTCTCAGTCGAGAATGATTTCAGAAACTGCTCAGACTTTAACATAAGTGAATTTGACTAACAGCCCGGCTGCTGCTCATAATACTTTACTCTGTTCATTATGGTTAACATTATTGAATATTTTTAGTACAAGTTGCAGTTGCTATTTCTGTCATTGTATGCTTATAATGGATATTTTAATTTCATTTGTTTAATATGCATGTAGACTGTGGTTTCATGCTATAACATGCGGGTTAACTGACAACCTGGTGATGTCATTAATGTTTCACAATGTTTGAAGTTGACTCAAAATCAAGTAAACTCGGCTCTTAAGCAATTACAATTAAAGAAAAAACACCTTAAAATTGGGGGGATGGACACAGTTTAATGCACAGGATAGGAAATCAGTTTGGATGTATTGTGGGAGGAATGCTGCTTTAAAGATTTTGCCCGTGGATGCTCTCATTTTACATTTGATCAATCTGCCTGCGTGTGGAGGAAGAAAAGATTCAGTTTCAAGAACATGACAAGCAGCCAGATGAGGAGAAGAGGAGCACAGAGCTAATATTCCTGTCAGCATGTCCGGACAGAGAGAGAGGAACCACGGGAAGAACTGTGTGTCAGACCTCAGAACAGAATCTGTCACAGCCAGGACGAGAAGGGCAGATGGACGAAACGCCTCATGGGAGAGGAATTCATATTTTTACTATCACTGTTGTAAGTGATGTGTGAATAAAACGAATTCAGCATTGTGGCAAAATACTCTCACTCTGTCCCGATCGATTTCTGCACATTTCTGTCACCAGTAGGACAGGTAATATTTTGGGGGATCAGCGCACACACATGCACATTGCACATAAAAGGGCATCGACGTGCACACACATGTAGCGAGCACGTACACACACACATCCAGACCACTATCCAGCTTGGAAGACAATGCTCACATGTGCACACATTAAACACACCAGCACGTATACGCTCACACACACACACACACACACACACACACACACACACACACACACACACACACACACACACACACACACACACACACACACACACACACACACCCCTCTTGTTCCCCACAGCACCCCAGCGGTCCTACCTCCAGACTTGACCCAGCTGCAGGACGTGGAGCACGGCTTGAAAGACCCACATGCAGACGATGCAGCACCTCCGGGGGCCCCCGACTCTCCCTGCCGTCGCAGGCGGAGCAGAGGCTGTATAAACCGGGGTAGCATTTGCCGCGTTCCCCGCTGCCGCGCTCCCGCCGCGCTGGTCGCTGTCCTTGGTGCTCAAAGTGTCGCTCGCCGTGGCCGCGCCGCCTGCCGCCACCGCGCCGCTCCCGTTGCCGCTCGCCGCTCCATCCCCGCAGCTCAGATCCGAGTAGTCATACATGAACCACCTGAAACTCAATATCTGGACCACAGCGGAAGGCACCACGACGAAGACGAGCGTCAAGCCGAACCACCAGTAGTCACCTCTCAGGTAGTAGTCGGCGGCCAGCCACAGGTCGGTCGCGCCGTCGGAGAAAAAGACGAGCAGCGCGCAGAGCACCCAGCAGCAGTCCAGCACCGTGTACGGCTTCCCGCCCAAGGCGCTGCAGCGGGGCCGGGCGGCGGGGATCCCCGGCTCCGAAAGGCTCCTGGGCGTGTTGTCATCTTCCACAGACACCGCTGCTCCATCCGACTTAGCGGCCATGTTGGTTAGGATAGGAGAGAAAGACAGAGAAAAGAGGTGGGGATACGGGAGAGAGAGGGAGGGAGAAGGGAGGGGAGGGGGCTGGCTGTGTGCAGGGGAGAGAGAGCGAGAGAGATTACATCATAACTAGCCTCATCATCAGCCAATTAATTGCGAGGTGTCATTACTAACAGGGCTTTTAACACCATGGCACCAGCAAGATGTTTGCAGGACATACAGCATCAAGGATATTCCTGCTAAACATTTTATCACCTGCAGTTTTTAGTTTTTGTTCCTGTCATTAAAACCTCTGTTACATTACGCTGTCTCTGCAGCAGCAGATGACAGGACTGTTGTTATAAACTCATATGTGAAGAGGGTTTTATAAGCTGCTCGTGCTGAGTATCAGTTTCTGACTTGGCACCTTCACTTGTCATTTTTTACTATGAATGTAGTAAACCTGTGAACGTCTTGCATCCTGTGCATGGGTTTCTTGGCTCCTCCTGCATGATGAATCTCCCTTCAGACAATAAATGTTCAAATGTGCTGTCCGCATACTTAAAATAATGTGCCCCACATTTAAACGATGAGAAATTGCAAGAAAAAGCAATCTGCAGTTTCATAAAAGTAGCTCTAGTCAGACAGATAATTTCACATAAGCTTTTCTCACTGGAACCGAAAGGTTAAAAGGTAACAACACGGTGTTTCCCCTATACTCTTATCTTTGTGCATAATATTAAAGGTACATTTTATTTCTTCAGGGGAAAAACCCTTGTCTGCATGTTGCGATCACAAGAACACAAAGAGAGAGAAAGATTTATTACAGTACATATTGGTTATTTTCATTAATGCTGCCGGTAGACTAGTTATGGTTCAAGTGAACATAAATCACACTTTGTTAATAAGTCTGAAATATGTACCTGCAATTTAAGCATTAATGAAGGAGATAACAAACATGACACTTGGATTGTTCTACATACTGTAGTAAGCTGATTTCTTAGGTTTATGGACAAAAAGAGATTAATCTAAGAAAACAAACATCACAAGGTAAACCACAACACTCCATTATCAGTATCTGAATTTGATGATTTAAATAGATGTTTGTTCAACCTAGGAAAACAGTATTCACATTTATGAGGAATTTAACGATCCTAAATGTGTTCATTGTGAGACCAAAATCAACATTTTGGAACTCTTTTTTGAACTTTTTACCTTCCCCATCCCAGCCTTTTGGCTCTACTGAACAATCATTTTTTTTGTGTTTTGTGTAGATGTTTCCTAGCAAGGACGTTTTGGTTTGAATCAACCCCTAATACACAGGGAAACAACACATTAATTAAAAAGAGGTCACAAACACAGTTTAGTCAATATGTACAGTTTCTCTTAAAGAATACATTAAGGTGTTTTCATTTGCTGAAACAGCTGGTCCTTGTAGTTTTTATCAAACAATCAGCAGTGGATCACTCCACATTTAGTGCTCTGGTGTATACTTGTGGCAGCAGGACATTGTGATGGATTGAGTCAAAATAAACTACAGTGTGTGTTTATGGTAATGAAGCAACATGTTACCCAGTGTGGCTGTTTTAATTTCTGGACAACAATAGCTCTGTGGCACAGAGGAGGAACACAACACCTGTTAGTTTGATCTCTACATTGTTGTTTGTCAGAACACTATATCATACTACTAGTCCTTCAAGAGTTCATCATTATCAGCTGTTATAGGAGAGATGTTCATTTCTCAGTATCCTCTCCTCGTCTCAGCTGTTCCCAGACTCTCTCTATGCACAGACTGCCTGTGTTTTAGTGTCCGGGCCTTTTCTAATTGTAACGAGGCAGTGATGCATAAAGCTGACAAGACACAGAGCAACTGGTCTGTTTACAGCAGTGACCGTACTAATTGAAAAGATCCTATAAACTGTGAGCAGAATAGGCAATGAAACTCTTTGGTGAATTACGGCTCTGCGCTTCACTGCCCGCAATGAACCAATCAGCTGCTGTGTTTCCCCACCAGGACAGGGTTTATCTGAGGGGGGGTCAATCCAAAATGTCTGTGGAACAAGATATAGAGCCCAGATCCTAAAAGAAGAATAAGTCTATTAGCCACTTGGTACTCCTACATATTTCATTCATTTAAATGGTCAGAACAACAGAGACTAAATGTACTCCCCATGATGTGTTTCAATGCCTCAGAGCTGTTGAATTCCAAGCTGGAGTTGTTCTGGCTTTTGTTTGACGACAAAAATGTAAAACACACACATTTGTCAGAATATTTTCTTTGATAACCGCTGCCCATTATGAGTTGGAGACTAAGGGGAGCTAATTAGAGATCCCAGATCATCACGGCTCCGACTCACTTTAGAAAAACAGAGCAGAGATTATGCATGGCAGAGAAAACGCTGTCACATTCAAACCACAATTATAGAATTTAAAGTTTTATGAAAGGTTTTCCATTAAACAACCCTGAAATAAAACCATATCCGTTTCTAGTTCCGCAGAAAATTCTTAATCACTCCTAGGTTAAGGGAAACATTCCTGAAGCCACTTTAAACATGTAGATATATCTCTGGACTTTAATTGTGTCATATCAATCTACATCTCCAACAGCTCATACATGAACTAGAACGTGCGTGCAGTGGAAAAACAGGGCCCTAACAGTTGATATTTTGGTATTCTCCATTTCACCTAGTAATATGTATTGTGTGAGCAGAGAGAACACTTCTTAAAGACAGTGCCTAATACATTAGCTAATACGGCAATGCCATCCTCTGATGGTATTTTACCTCAAGTTGTTCAAATTCTTTATCAAATTTACAATTTATGAAAAAACTAAAAGTGAAAGACACATTTCATTTGAGGCTTTTCTGCTAGGTACTGTGGTTCACTAAGCTTTAGCATTAACCATATCAAAAGTACGGTGGCTGAGAAGTGCAAACGACAATTACAAAGTGTGAAACACTTTAACAAAGCTTGAGAAGACATTTACTTTTTATAAAACAAATTTACATTTTATAAAACAAATTTACATTTTATAAAACAAATGTACATTAGCGAAACACTTTTACCAAAGAAAAAACAATTTAACATTAACAAAAACAAATGAACAAGATGCGAAACACTTTTACAAAGCCAGAGACACATTTACATTTTATAAAACATAATAACATTTTATAAAAACAAAATTACATTAGCGAAAAACTTTTACAAGAACTGAGACAAATTTACAAGTCTCGAAACAATTTAACATTTCCCGAAACACTTTAACATTTCTCGAAACAACCCTTCTCTTGCGTTTCGGGTCAAAAGTGACCGAGTGACTTTGTTTTTGATCATAAATATTGTGTTTTTCATCCAATTGCCTCAAGATCGATGATCACCACTTGCATTGATTTTTTTAGTGATTAATTCAACAGTGAAACACCCATGATGTTTTCGGTCAGAATTGACCGCCATAGAAAATGAATGGGTATGAGTGTATTATGTCCAGTATAAATTTCACTAAAAAATTCTTATCTTAAAATCATTTTATCCCTCATCCAATATAGCAGAATACATGAATTATTATAAGTGTTTCGGCAAATGTTAAAGTGTTTCGGGAAATGTTAAAGTGTTTCGAGACTTGTACATTTGTCTCAGTTCTTGTAAAATTGTTTCGCTAATCTAAATTTGTTTTATAAAATGTAAATTTGTTTTATAAAATGTAAATTTGTCTCAAGCTTTGTTAAAGTGTTTCACACTTTGTAATTGTCGTTTGCACTTCTCAGCCACCGTACAATGTTCCTTTAACAAAATACTTTCCAGTTATGATTTACATTTTAAATCACTGAAAAAAACTCTTTGCATTGGTGACATCACAGTTCATAAGCTGCAAATGATGCAGATGTCACATAAACTGTGTATATTTAATATACAACTTATTTATAATTTAGACACTCCTGAATTAGGTTGTGAATTATGGTAATGTGGAGACAGACGTTTTTACAATGCCTCTTTACTCTCCAATCAGACCTGTGTGTTTATTACATCATTTTTACAAAAGCGATTGTGCCTTTAATTAAAGCGCCCTCATCAGGCGGGTGAGAGTGAATCCCCCGAGTCCTCCTGGGAGTTGCAGTTCTCTCCCTTCAGCTTCACCTGAACTCACACTCTGTCTCTGTTTCGCTCTCAGGCTGCACATTCCTGACAAATGAGGGTCATTATAAGTTTGAGAGCGCGGGGAGCTCATTAGAGGTCTCAGATCAGTGCTGCCGCTGCTGTGATACACTTTAGTGAATACACAGACTCTGAGCTGCAGAGCGACTCCCAAAACATCTGCACCAGCACACCACTGTTTCTAAAGTAAGGATTTTCACTTCCTGAATTTCTTGGTAATTGAAAAGTAGCAGGTTTGAAACCAAAGCTGCAACCGAAATAAATAACAACAACTTGATGTTCACTTATAATTTAGCCCACATGCTGATTTGCCAGCAGTGACGTTTCTGTGATCACATGAGCAGACTGAAGAGCCAGGAGCTTTTATTTTCAACATCTGTCAGAGGATTAGGAGGAAGCAGAAGCTCCCACAGTCATTAAAGGAAAGCAAGTTCATAAAACTCACTTCTTTAAAAGGATTTATTACCTGGAGAACTTCATGGAGTCTGCTGAGTGAGCACTGATCTAAGGCCCCTCACTATCCCAAAATGTCAGCTTTCTCACAAAATCACTTCATTTGCAGTTTCTAACCATGAATGGTTGTAATCCAATTAATGGTTTGGTATGTGTAAATGCCTGAAGGCTGCATGGCCATTTCAAACTGATCCAATCAGATCAGATCCTGTCTCAATACCTCTGAGGGCATGTCCAGATTTTCTGAGATTTTCCTGATTAATCTAGACGCTAAAGTTATTAATGTGTCCATTTTGGCTCCATGGTTTTACTGAATAAAACATGAGAAGTGATGATCACAATCAGCTTTAACTTCTTTCTTTTTGAATTCAGGAGGTGGCTATTTTTCATACACATTATACCAAATTATTCTGCAATAG